CCTGGGCCCCTCCAGGCAGCCCCGGCAGCAGCAGCTGCTCTTCGTGCTCTTCCTGAGCATGTACCTGGCCACGGTCCTGGGGAACCTGCTCATCGTGCTGGCCATCGCCACAGACTCCCGCCTGCACACCCCCATGTACTTCTTCCTCAGCCACCTGTCCTTCGTGGATGTCTGCTTCTCCTCCACCACTGTGCCCAAGATGCTGGCCAGTCACGTGCTCGGGGCGCGGACCATCTCCTTCCCCGGGTGTCTCACGCAGATGTTCTTTGTCTTTGTGTTTGTGGACATGGACAATTTCCTCCTGGCTGTGATGGCGTACGACCGCTTTGTTGCAGTCTGCCACCCCTTACATTACACAACAAAGATGACCCCTCGGCTCTGTGTCCTGCTGGTGGTGGGATCGTGGGTTGTTGCCATCCTGAATGTCCTACTGCACACCCTGCTGATGGCTCGACTCTCGTTCTGCATGGACAACACCATCCCCCACTTCTTCTGTGATGTGACCCCCCTCCTGCAACTCTCCTGCTCGGACACACACCTCAACGAGATGATGATTCTCACGGAGGGTGCCCTGGTCATGATCACCCCGTTTGTTTGCATCCTGGTGTCCTACGTGCACATCGCCCGTGCTGTCCTGTGAGTCCCAGCCACAGGGGGCAGGCGGAGGGCCTTCTCCACGTGTGGCTCCCACCTGGCAGTGGTCTCCCTGTTCTATGGCACCATCATTGCTGTGTATTTCAACCCTGCATCCCCACACTCATCTGAGAAGGACACCGCGGCTACCGTGCTGTACACGGTGGTGACCCCCATGCTCAACCCGTTCATCTACAGCCTGAGGAACAGGGACTTGAAAGGGGCTCTAAGAAAAGTGGTTGGCAGGAAGACGAACTCTTACTGATGAATGTACCATGGCCTGGGGGTAATCCCAGGAACAGCAGTCTTCACCAGTCACTAAATGTAACAAACTATTTGTCAAAGTATCTTCAAGGAACTTAGAATAGAGGTGCTCAGAGGATACCTACCCCTGGACTAGCTGAGACTGCAAACCTTCTCCTTGTAATAGGTAATGATAATTTGTTTCTAATTTGTTCCAAAATACTCTACTTAAGAGTAGTTCCTCCTGTCCTAGTGTTTGCTTTGAAGGATGCATGTTTCAAATAGTTTTGCACTTTCCTTCTGAAATGCCGAGTCCACAGAGTCGTTTGCAATCCTGGCTGCGAGCTAGTGGGAGTTTAGGAAAAATGTATATGGGTTTGACCAAACCTAAATGAAATAAATCTGAAACTCTAGGGTAGGCCCTGGGCTTCAGTATTTCCCTCCTACATTTCCCAGGGACCCAGTATCTTTGAGTTGATAGTCACACTGCAGTGGGTAATCCTCTCTATTGCTCACCACGAGTAAGTCCTCCGAGAACGCTGAGGCCTAATGTGGACACCAGCAGTAAACATGAGATGTAGAGTCACCAGATGTCCTCGGTGGGCCGTGTCGTGCTGAGAAGGCTGGTCCTTGGCCATAGTTTGCACTCCTGGGTCTCACGCGGTGCCCATAAATTTAAGCCACTGGGTCCAGGACTCGAACCGCGGTTGACTACATGGGAGTCCAGCGACATAGCCTTTACGCTAACTGTTGTGGGGACCCTGTGGCTTAAACTCATGTGGGGCACGTGTGCATGCATGCCCAAGATCCCAAGAGGAGAATGGAGAAGGGATTGCAACATGGCCATCCCCTCGGGGCGGGGGGGGGCGGTGATTCCTTGCCTTCCAGCTCTCTATCTCTGTCTTTCTGGCGAGCACACGCACCCTATAGCAAAAACCTCTCCAAAAAAAAAAGAAAAAAAAATGAAAATAATTTTAACCAAAGATGACTTCAAGCTACTTAGACAATTTTACCTCTGGGCCTTTCCTCTTACCATTCTCCCTGTCATCAAATACTTAGAATTGTGCTGTTTGCGGCTGTGTGTCTCGTGATCTGGATGTATTACAACTCATGTGCACATTTACTCCCACTGTAAGTGCGAGCTACACTCCAGCAGACTGGTCTGCACCTTTACTATTTCCACGGGTAACCGGAGAGAGCTGCTTCAAGCCAAGGGGCAGAAGCTGGGTCATATTCCTTTTCTCAGGCACCCACCCCATCCCACTGGTCCTTATTGCCACGGGGTCCTGCACCTGCTGCTGTCAACAGAGAGTCCCAAAGCCTACGCATCCAATGCTGTCAGCCATGCCCAGGTTCATGGTCAGCAGGCACCCTCCTGTCCATCTTGCATGCTGCATGCTGTTCTTCCAATGCTTTCTTTGCTTAAATTCTAATTGGCTAATACTAAAACTCCTTTTTTTTTTATTATGGTGGTTTGGGCTTGCTAGATGTACACCTGCTGATTCTACCCAATGCCACTGGAGTTATGTGACTTTGGAAATGGGTTCTTGGGGCCAGCGGGTGGCACGATGGTCACGATGGCTGGATCTGGGGCCGGCAGGTGGCATGGTAGTTAAGGTACTAGACACTCCCACAGGGCCAACCATGGTTCTAGTCCCAGACCTGGTGGCTTGCTTTCTCACTTTCCCTCTCTCTTTCTCTCTCTGTGTCCCCTCTCTGGTCAAATTAAAATAAAGAATAAATAAATAAAATGAAATAAAAAATTCTTTAAAAAATTAAAGAACAAAAAGATGGCTGGATCCACAGGCTGTGGCAAGAGGATTGTGACATGACAAGACCCTGTCAAAAATACTTACCTGTTTCTCTTCTTTTCCCTCTCCTTTTTCTTGCTCTCATTAAAAAAATAAATAAATAAAAAGTATGGAATTACAAAAGAACCCAAATAGCCTAAGCAATCCTGTATAAAAAGAATCCTGTGCATCACATTATATAACCTCAAAATATACTACAAAGCTATAGTAACTTAAAACAGCATGGTACTGGCATAAAAACAAACATGTAGGTCTATGGAACAGAACAGAGAATTGAGACATAAATCCACATACATACAGCCAATTGATTTTGATGAACATGACAAAAATTTTTTTAGAGATTTTTTGCTATAGGGTATATGTGCTCATTGGAGAGACAGAGACACAGAGAAACAGAAAGCGAGAAATCATCCCCCAGGGGAAATGGTCACACCACAATCCCTTCTCCTCTCAGGATTTTGGGCACGCATGCACATGTGCCTGGTATGAGTTGTTTTTTGTTTTTTGTTTTTTTTTGAGAGTTGTGTTTTTTTAATTTATTTTTATTTTTATTTTTTTTTGCTATAGGGTGCATGCACTCACCAGAAAGACAGAGAGATAGAAAGCAAGAAACCACTCCCCAGGGAGGATGGTCATGCCACAATCCCTTCTCCTCCATTCTTCTCTCAGTATTTTGGGCATGCATGCACACGAGCCTGGCATGAGTTTAAGCCAGCAGGTCCGGACTCAAACCGTGGGAGTCTAGCAACATAGCCATTACACCAGCAGCTGGTTCCAGCCAGCATGAATTTTAAGCCATCAAGTCTAGGAGTCAAACCGTACTTGACTAAGTGGGAGTCCAGCAATGTAACCATTATGCCATCTGCCGGTCCTGTGACAATAATATTAATTGTGGGGAGCTGGCAGGTGTTGTGGTGGTTAAGGTGGCTGGACTCCCACATGGCTGACCATGGTTCAAGTCCCAGACCTGGCAGCTCGCTTTCTCACTTTCCTTCTTTCTCTGTCTCTCTCCAGCCTACTTCAAAAAACATAAATATAAAAATAAAAATAATGACAATGAGTAAAACTTTGAAAAAAAATTAATTGTGCATAAAGAACAGTCCTTGTAATAAATGGTATTGAGAATATTGGATATTCATGTGTAGAAGAAACTAGACACCAATCTCTCATCATATACAAAAATAAACTCAAAATGAATTAAAAACTTAAACTTAAGACCCCAAAGAATAAAATTACTAGAAGAAAATATAGGGGAACCTTCGGGACATTGATATAGGCAGTTTGCTTTTTGCTTGCATTTTAATTTTTAAAAAAATCATTTATTTAATTTAAAAAAAATAAAAAGAAAAGGGACCAGCAGTTGGTGTAATGGCTATGTTGCTGGACTCCCATGTGGTCAACCATGGTTTGAGTCCTGGACCCAGTGGCTTAAACTCACACCAGGCATGTGTGCATGCGTGCCCAAAATCCCGAGAGGAGAATGAAGGAGAAGGGATTATGGTGTGGTCATCCTCCCTGGGGGATGATTTCTCGCTTTCTGTCTCTCTGTCTCTGTCTTTCTGGTAATGCACGTGCCCTATAGCAAAAACTTCTCAAAAAATAAAAGAATTATTAATTTAATTTAATTTATTATTATTTTAAAATTTGATGAGAGAGAGAGAAAGAGAGGGAGGAGGAGAGAGAAAGTGAGAAAGGAAACTGCCAGGTCTGGGACTCAAACCATGGTCAGACATGCAGGAGTCCAGCACCTCAACCACCGTGCCACTTGCCAGCCCTGCATTTTTATTTAAAAATTTTGGGGAGGGTAAATATTTTTTAGATAACATATCAAAAGCATGGGCAACGAATGCAAAAATAGACAAATGGGATTACATCAAAGTAGAAAAGCATCTGAAAAACAAAGGGAACAATAAACAGAATGAAGAGACAGTGTGCAGAATGGGAGAGAATACTTGCAAGCTATCTATCTCACAGGAGATTAGTAACCAGACTATTCAAGGAACTCGAATAACCGATCAGCAAAATATCAAAATAACCCCATTTAAACATGAACAATTGATCTGGAAAGATTATTTCTTGGGGCCAGCAGTTAGCATAATGGCTATGTCACTGAACTTCCACATAGCCAACCGCGATTCGAGTCCCGGACCCAGTAGCTTAAACTCACGCCGGGCGCGTGTGCGTGCGTGCCCAAGATCTCGAGAGGAGAATGGAGGAGAAGGGATTGCAGCATGGCCATCCCCCCTGAGGGGTGATTTCTCGCTTTCTATCTCTGTCTCTCTCTGTCTTTCTGGCGAGCGCACATACTCTGTAGCAAAAACCTCTAAAAAAATAAGATTATTTCTCAAAATAAGACATACAAAAGCTCAAAAGATACATGAGAGAAAATGTTTAATTAACATCACTAAACTTCAGGGAAATGCAAATAAAAATCACAACGAGGTCTCGGCTCACACAAGTTAGAATGGCTATTACCAAAACAACAACACACAACAAGAATGATGAATGCTGGTACAGAGGCAGAGAAAGGGGAACTGTTGCGCATTATGTGGGGAATATGAAATTATTAGACATTGTGGAAGACAGAATAATGGTTTCTCAAAAAACTAAAAGCAAACTTTATGATCCGGCAATCAGAATATTTGGTGTATATCCAAAGTCAAAAAAAAATCTGCATGTTAAAAAGATACCTACTGGGGACTAGCAGATGGCATAATGGTTATGGCGCTGGACTCTCATGTAGTCGACTGCAGTTCGAGTCACAGACCCAATGAATTAAAACTCATACTGGGTGTGCGTGCGTGCCCAAAATCCCAAGAGGAGAAGGGATCGTGGCGTGGCCATCCTCCAGGGGATGATGTTTTGCTTTCTGTTTCCTCTGTCTCTCTCTGTCTCTCAGGTGAATAAACGCACCCTATAGCAAAATCTCACTCTCTTAAAAAAAAGATACCTACTATTTTGCGAGGTTCTCTTCTCCTCCAGGTGGTGGGTTGAACAGAGACACAGGGCGTTGGAAAAGGCCATGAGTCATCGATGTCATGCCGTTTATTGGCTGAGTTCAGAGGGAGCTCACAGAGTGGTTTTCTTTTTTTTTTTTTTTTTTTTGTGGAGAGGTTTTTACTATAGGGCGCGTGCGCTCGCCAGACAGAGAGAGACAGAGAGACAGAAAGTGAGAAATCACCCCCCAGGGGGGATGGCCACACTGCAATCT